AATTTTGTACCCAATACACAATTCGCTGTTTCTCTCAACCTGTAACATTCTGTACCTCGTACACAGTTCCCTGTGTCCCGTGTCGAGGATCCTCTATTCCGTACCCTGTGTCAAGTGTCAGGATCCTCTATTCCGTACCCTGTGTCCCGTATCGAGGATCCTCTATTCCGTACCCTGTGTTTTCCGTGTCGAGGATCCTCTATTCCGTACCCTGTGTCCCGTATCGAGGATCCTCTATTCCGTACCCTGTGTTCCGTGTTGTGTACCCTCTATTCCGTACCCTGTGTTTTCCGTGTCGAGAACCCTCTATATACCGTATCCTGTGTTCCGTGTCGAGGATCCTCGATTCCGTACCCTGTGTCTCGTATCGAGGATCTTCTATTCCATATCCTGTGTTCCGTGTTGTGTACCATCTATTCCGTACCCTGTGTGTTCCGTGTCGTGTACCCTCTATTCCGTACCCTGTGTCCCGTATCGATGACCCTCTATTCCGTACCCTGTGTCCCGTATCGATGACCCTCTATTCCGTACCCTGTGTTTTCCGTGTCGAGGATCTTCTATTCCGTACCCTGTGTTCCGTGTTGTGTACCCTCTATATACCGTATCCTGTGTTCCGTGTCGAGGATCCTCTATTCCGTACCCTGTGTCCCGTATCGAGGATCTTATATTCCATATCCTGTGTTCCGTGTTGTGTACCCTCTATTGCGTACCCTGTGTTCCGTGTTGTGTACCCCCTATTCCGTACCCTGTGTGTTCCGTGTTGTGTACCCGCTATTCCGTACCCTGTGTGTTCCGTGTTGTGTACCCTCTATTCCGTATCCTGTGTGTTCCGTGTTGTATACCCTCTATTCCGTACCCTGTGTGTTCCATGTTGTGTACCCTCTATTCCGTACCCTGTGTTCCGTGTTGTGTACCCTCTATTCCGTATCCTGTGTTCCGTGTTGTGTACCCTCTATTCCGTACCCTGTGTGTTCCGTGTTGTGTACCCTCTATTCCGTACCCTGCGTTCCGTATCGAGGATCTTATATTCCATATCCTGTGTTTCGTGTTGTGTACCCTCTATTCCGTACCCTGTGTGTTCCGTGTTGTGTACACGCTATTCCGTACCCTGTGTGTTCCGTGTTGTGTACCCTCTATTCCGTACCCTGTGTGTTCCGTGTTGTGTACCCTCTATTCCGTACCCTGTGTGTTCCGTGTTGTGTACCCTCTATTCCGTACCCTGTGTTCCGTGTTGTATACCCTCTATTCCGTACCCTGTGTGTTCCGTGTTGTGTACCCTCTATTCCGTACCCTGTGTGTTCCGTGTTGTGTACCCGCTATTCCATACCCTGTATTCCGTGTTGTGTACCCTCTATTCCATACCCTGTGTTCCGTGTTGTGTACCCTCTATTCCGTACCCTGTGTTCCATGTTGTGTACCCTCTATTCCGTACCTTGTGTGTTCCGTGTTGAGTACCCTCTATTCCGTACCCTGTGTGTTCCGTGTTGTGTACCCGTTATTCCATACCCTGTGTGTTCCGTGTTGTGTACCCGCTATTCCGTACCCTGTGTGTTCCGTGTTGTGTACCCGCTATTCCGTACCCTGTGTGTTCCGTGTTGTGTACCCGCTATTCCGTATCCTGTTTTTTCCATTGTATTTTATACCCCGATTCCCTTGATTCCATTCTCCTTTTCCGCCTTATCTTCGTGTGATGCCCAGATTAATCTATGACCTCGCAAGGTTTAAACTGTTTTACAAGTGAAGCTAGGCGGATTTACCTCCCTTGAATAATGTACTAGAAGCAAACAATTCTACATCAGTTGTTTACAAACAAACACAACTTTCCGTAAGCTGTATGGTGGCTTTGTTGATTTTCTTTTCTCTATTGTGAACTTTATACCTCGATGGTACAGTGTAGAATCGCTCCTTACCAAAATCTCCAGGATTGCTTTGAATGACGCGATTTCCCTAAAAGATGTCGATCAGTGACGAGAAGCCTTAGTGGGCCTACGGTACCCGAAAATTGAGGGAGATTTTTCACCAAAGTCGTGGTGAGATTGGGTTCACTTACAACCCGGTAGTTACTTTAGACATTCGTTTATATAAATATGCCGGTTGGCATAGATATATCACAAGTCATTTACTCTTCCAGATACTCTTCCGGAACATCTTTTCATTTTCTCATGACGGACCTTCGGATTTTTTTTTTTTGTTCAAAATTTGAATATAATGCGTGGGGGGGGGGGGGGGGGGAGGAGGGGAGGGGGTTGAACGCGAGGTTGGTGGTGCGTTCATGCGTGTGTATGTATGCAATGTATGCATGCATGCATGTTGTAGTCGTTTACGTCGGGACGTTTTTGACGCTGACCATCGCCCTTTTACTCCAAGAAAAGTCCGTGAAGGAACTATTAAATGTGTTAATAAACTTTTCTTATCATCTCCCTTTAGACATTAAGGGTGCTTTTCGTTCATAAAGAAAAACAACAGAAGGTTGTGTGATAAATATTTTTTATTATTTTATATCCTTAATGTATATTTGATCAAAAAGAACTGGAATAGTATAAATATGCAGTATAAATGCAGCAAATCCATAAATATCTTCAAATACACCACCATCCAGAGTTATCGTTCTTTACCTAGTGATTGTAAGGAACCACAACTCTGGGTATGAAATCGAAAAAAACACATAACACAGATAGTCATTCGATATGATTTAAAAGCACGAGAGTGAATGAACCGAGTACAAAATAAACAATGATACATCGAGCTGAAAATAAAGTTACTCTGTATATACCCATTTTTATCAGTAACTGATTTATATTGTACAACAATCAAATAAAAAATTGATAATTTTTTATTTTAATAGTAATATTGAATTTACAATAAAAATACACAAATCCATTAATATGTAACGCTCTCGATATACTGTTCACGTTTTCAAAACTGAGAAATACTACGAAAGACCAACAACATTGGCTTAAAAAGGATGTGAAAAACTCTTTCGGGAAGTGGATCAGGGTTTGAATAATTAAAAAGGGGTTAAGATGAAATTTCATGAAGTGCATCTAAGAAGAATTTTTAAAATGTGACAAAATTTTACAAGATAGTCTCGTATTTTTATCATCTGATAGTTTTTTCACTTGATGAATCTAATAACTGAAAATGACAAATATCATTCAATGAAAATCAATGAATAATGCCATGAAATATATTGACTATAAATTTTTTATAGTACGAGTAAGCTCCCCTGGTACATATATCGTTGATCAGAAAGTGACATAATCATAACGGAATGATAAAACGGGAATAATTAAAAGCGATGATACGGCGATGAAAAGAAATTAAACAACTCGTCTAGTCCTGGGTGAAGGATAGGAAAACAAAATACAAGAGGACTTCCAACATATTAAATTGTTCAACGTTTGAATACAATTTTGTTACTACCATAGAAAGCAAAACTGAAAGTAATGCCACTACCATCACAACTTTGTATGATTTTTAATAAATTCTTAATAATCACGCTGCTTCTTAACGGCCATGAAACTGTTTTTATTACGGTACAAAGTTCGGAAATAAAACTTTCCTTGAGATATATTTTTTCATTTCGCTAAAATTTGAATTTAAAGATGAAATAATCCATTCCTTTCAACCTTGTCAGTAGAACATAGACTTTACATTGCAGTTTCGCATTACGGAATCGGATTATTCCTAACAATTAGTAATTGTTGCTTTTTGACGTCATGTAAGTGACACCGAGTTTTAGGTAACATTTTCAAAATTAATGAAATTCAACATAAACTTTTTAAAAAATTTCAACAAATGTAAGTTATACAAATTTTTTGTTTATATCAATCACTCTTGTTGGGCTGGAGTATGGGATGAAGTATGGAATTGTGAAAGGAAACCGTATTACCCGATGAAACCAAAGTGACTGGATGGTGACCCTTATCGTTTCAATTAGTTCGAGGAATCGAACCCCGGACGACTCGGTGAAAGGGTAGTACGTTACCACTGTGTTATCCGACCACCCACTATAGTTATACAAGCCACAATACAGTAGTATGTGACAGCTATGTTATAAAACCATTATAATAGTGAAAGGTATCTAAAATATATATTGATGAAATATTATCATATACAGGTATGGTGGATGTACATGTTTTACATACACTGACAGACAGGACAAACAGATATGCTTATTTTCCTAGAAATAAACGGAACATTGCCTCTAGATTGTCTCAGGAACTTGGCACGTGTATAATCATACATATTATAACCGTATTATATTTACATGTACATATAAACTTTTCATTTAAATGGATCATATTTCCAAAACAAATCTTGGCAAAAAATATAAACTTTTATAAACGTCACAACCTTTGAACTGATCCGTGGTTCGATCTAAGGAACGATAACTCTGGATAGCAACTTCAATAGGATGTAAAAGCTTTAATATCGTTGAAATACAGTAAGTGCTCCGCAACTGAAAAATAAAGCGGATCATGTACATCACTATTACCGATTTCCTGACACAGCCCTTGTACATTATTGGAACTTACAAATGTACATTGTGATCAATCAGGGTTTCCGCCCCTCGTTTCACAGTGTCAGTAGGCTATGTTTTACAGCTGAGGAACCGAACATGAATTGAGTGTAAGGAACGACAACCCTGTTAGTTAGTAAGGAACGACAACTCTGTAAGTGAGCAAGGAACGACAAATCTGGATAAAGATTTATATTCGGAATCTTGTCTTATTTCACCTAAAGGCAATACAGATCAAATCATTACCGGTGCTGGATTAAACACTTTATGCACGTGTGAATGTACGTGTGTCAATGATACTTCAGCAGTTTCTTCACAATTAACAAAGAACACGAACTCGTTTACCTGCTATGAGTAGTCCACCTCAAAACTCCATATCATAAGTTTGCTATGTAAGTAATTTTTTTGTTATAACCATATCGATTATGACGAGACATAATAAACACGTATCTCGTGACAATGATTTTGATCATTATCTCGTGACTTTGTTCTATATTTAAGTTACACATTGTATACTGTACAAAAGAAATATATATTTTAGAAGTTTTTGTTTATATCCATAATACGTTCGGTACCTTCTAACATAAGTAAAGGGAAAACAAACTTATGTATCTATTGTATCTGGCTTGCAATACTGTTTTACATGTTACCCGGGACCGGTAACAATGAGTTATTCCTGATGGATTTCATTCTTTTAATGTTTGAAAAACAATCAAGCGTGTTTAAGATGCAGATTTCGTTGAAGAACTAATTATGCTTGGTAAATTGAGAAACACTGAAAACTTTCATCCATCGTCGATATTTGCTAATGTTATTAGTCTCTCCCAGAGTGCATAGCGGTACCCTGAGTATAACGAACGACAACTCTGGAAGAGATAAGTCTGTTCCCAATTGACAATTAATAAAAACAACCTAAGTCTGATCTAGCATCGGACTTTTCTCTGGCTCAGAAAGAGAAATGGTAGGGACTATAGTTGTATCAATCTGTGCGTTCTGGCCTTTCTCCCATTTTGCGATCCTCCGCAGTGGGAAACAGATTAGCCCAGCCAGACTCAAAGTCACTCCAGATAGGTAGAATGTAATGTTGTAGTCGCCAGTCACATCGGCTAAAGCCCCTAAAACACACACAATGATAACGACATTAAGTAAGACTTTGACCCAATGTAGAATGTCTCTATTTAGGTATGGGTGGTTTTTTTCCGCATTGACAAGTGGCCGAAGCGCCTTCTATCAATACTATCATTACTTTTTTGTCATAGAAAAATTCTTGTTTACAAAACAAAAAAGAAAAGGAATTTGAATAGACGTTGTGCTTGTAGTGCAAGTATAAGCTGTGACTAAAATTTAACTTTAATTCGATGATAAGGAATCTAACCGAATTTGAATATTTAGAAAAGTTTTAATTATACTGAAAAAAATTTTGTTTATAGTTCGAAAATTGGATACATTTTGAGCCCTGTGACCTTGAAAATGAGTCAAGGTTGTTCAACAAACTTGGCTTGTAAGCCCTTTATCCCCGCAGGCAACAGGACAAAGAATGGTGCCCTCAAACTTTTGGTTACTGTGTATAAGTTGTTTAGAATTTTTAACATATTTGACCCATGTGACATTGAGAGTAGGTCAAGGTCGTTCATTCGAGGTGAAAAAAAGTCTTCATCCGATCGAAATAGGTCATTTGATTCTACTCAGATGAGAATCAAATTGCGATTTTTGGTTTTCTCCCATTGGTCAGTAAACTATATTTTATAGTGTGCAGAATTTTTGGCAAATAACCTATATTTTGTATTCCTTCAAAAGATTAATTGTTATTCCGTTCACAGTTCACAACTGTGTACCTGTTTCTAGAGAAAGGTAAATCCGTCCTTCCCCCCGGAAACACTAGTTCACAGTCAGTGTCGCACGATCACTTTTGATACTTTAGCCAAATCACAAGTAGATAATGTCATCAAGCTTGGCGTATTTTTACTTCCCTATTTAGCGCGAGACAAAATCATGATTTGAGTAGAATTAACCCTCGGGGAAAGAACCCCATGTAGCCAAATACTCGGCAAACCTCGTATTCGTCATCTTAAGACTCAACCCTCGTGTTTTGATGACTCTGTATCAACCTCTAAATATTGTCTTCATTTTGGTCAAAACTAAAGTTGTCCTACATTACCTGCTATGGGTGAGCCAATGAAAGACGATAAACCCTGACACAGAGTGACCAGTCCGAATGCATTGGTCAGCCTCTCGATCCCCATCAGTTCGACCATGATGATTGACCTCAGGGAGACAAACGACGCTGTAAAAGATGACAATAAATTTAGTATTTATACCGGAATACTGAGGTTTCTGTTTATACAAGGTTTGCTTACAAAGACCTAGTCTGTGTTTATATTATACAGGTAGATCTTATGTACAGTAAACCATGGACTGAATTACACAGTTCAGTTTGCCCGTATATCGGAAATTCGGTTTACACAGGAGTCCAGAATACAGAGGATTCTTTTATAAAGAAAATACAGGTTTACTTCGTTGTAGGATTAACGTTCTATTTCGTTCAGATTATCCTGGAAACAAGTCTTTCAATTTACTCGTCTTCAGTTGTAGCTATTCCCGATAAAATCAACAAAACAGAAAGTTAATCCTTATGTTTACAAATTTTTTTTTCGTAAAACACAACTGCATTTTTATTCGTTCCAAAGTTTACTGACACTCACAAAACATTTTGCCAGCCTAAAAACTACCGTCATGGAACACTCTATTGTTTCAATTGTTTCAGGCTTTCTAACACAACAGCAACAACACGAACAATATAGTCTTACTATTTCATGGATATCTATGTCATTTACCAAATACAAAATAACAATTTTTATTATATTGAAATTCCGAAGAAAACCTCAGAGGATTGACAATAATAGGGATCGTATTCCAAACGGATTTTTATGACGTAGTGATATTTAAAACCTGCGAAGTTCAACTCCTGTGTGAAACGATGACGTCACGCGGAAATCTTTCCTTCATAACGTGGTATCACTACACTACACCATACTAAGAATAAAAACTACGATACCTGTAAATATATACAAATGTATACAGTAGGACAAAACTGAAGGTCAGGTTTATACAGGTATCCAGATTACACAGGTCTACATAGTACTGTATACAGTAGGACCAAACTGAAGGTCTGGTTTATACAGGTGTCCAAATAACACAGGTCTACATAGTACTGTATACAGTAGGACCAAACTGAAGGTCTGGTTTATACAAGTGTCCAGATTACACAGGTCTACATAGTACTGTATACAGTAGGACCAAACTGAAGGTCTGGTTTATACAAGTGTCCAGATTACACAGGTCTACATAGTACTGTATACAGTAGGACCAAACTGAAGGTCTGGTTTATACAAGTGTCCAGATTACACAGGTCTACATAGTACTGTATACAGTAGGACAAAAGTGAAGGGATGTTTTAAACAGTTATCCAGATTACACAGGTTTAGTTTCAATGCCTACGATGGAACTAAACTGAAAGTCTAATTTGTTCAAGAGTTAAGAGCACGCTGGTTCTGTTCTGGATGTACTCCTCTGAGAAGTAAAAACAGCTACCATTATTTTTTTCTGATGATGATTTTTTTTATTTTCGAAAGCAAAAAACATTATGTTTCCGCGAAAAAAAAACGAAAAAAATCGCCGCTTTAACGTTTATTAGTATAACTGTAGAGAACAAAGTGTTAAAGAACACTAAAGTCAAAGATATTATGTTGAAATTTATTTTACATTGCATCATGTCTTACTTCCGGTCAAATATCAAAGGGATATACCGTTGATAGAAGAATAATTAATTTGAAACAAAGAATGAATTAGATAGTAACTTTTGAAATAGAACTAAAAATACAAGGGAGATAATTCTGTAATGCCTGGGCTCTACGACAGTATTGTATAATGCTGTATCTTATGTCTTATGTTCAAGCGCTTGTATGACGAGGACAAAATAAAGCACCAGACACGAAATACGTGCTTTATCTGACAAATATTGTTATTGCATGTAATTCATTATGATGAATACGCCATGACGTCATAAAACTTACCAATAGCTGCTCCAAACAACACCGAGTAGATGCCTAGAATGACGTAGAGTTTGTAGAATGGTACGAAGCACGTGATAAGTCCTCCAATCAAAAGCGCCACATTGTTAATGAGGAGGCAATCAGCCCATGATTGGTCAGAAACCCAACCAACCAGAATCCTCGTTACAGTATTAGAAATGCCAATGATGGATATCAGAAGAGCGCCTTCTCCAATGGACAGCTGAAGATCCTGGGCAAGGGCAGGTAAAAAATTAAATGGAATGAAAAAACCTGAAACGCAAAAGTGAAAGTTGGCAATTTCTAAAGATTTTAACTTATTGTTGTAAATCATTTGATGTTTTTAACTAGAATTGCACTTGAAACTGAAAGTGAAAGTGAAAGTGAAATTGAAAGTGAAAGTGAAATTGAAACTAAAATTGAAACTGAATCTGGTATGACTTACCAAACATACATAGAAAACAGGACACACCATACACTAAAAAGGTTGGACTTGCGAGTAATGAAAAGTCAAAGGTCTCCTGGAATAAAACACAAAATCTCGCACAACACGGGATTTTCTTTGTATCTGGTATATCCTCGTTACTATGAATAGTCATTTTAGTCACATAATCAGCGTCACTTTTAGCTGCCACTCGCTCTGGAATATGATCTAAACTTCCACTATAAAATATATCCTTTCTGAGTAAAGGACTTAAATGGTCCTTGTGTCGTTGTTTTGGACTTTCGGTTTGGGTGTTTAACAGTGACAAATCTTGGCTGAAAGCAAGCCGTGCCGTACAATCGGCTCCATTCTTATCACAGTTGATTTCCAGAGAGCGACATCGGTAAATTGGATTAAGTGACAAATCGTTTGGTTTCACGTTTTTACTTCCATTTTCTTGAAAATCGTAAGAATCTTTTTCACATGAAGTTTGCTCACAATCGATATTTTTACATATTGATCTATTTTCTTCAAGTGGACGATAAAACGACGCAAATATGGCGCCATTAAAGACGATACCGGAAATGACCCACATCGCTCCTTGCCAGCCATACGTTTCCAACAGGAACACACACAATGGCGCGAATACGAACCCGCCAATCCCGGAGCCACAAACTGCTATTCCTGTCGCAAAAGCTCGCTTTTTGTCAAAATAGTAGCCTACCATCACAATGGCGGGAAGGTAGATCAGCCCAAATCCACATCCTGCAATTTGATTGATTAAAATGGGTTTTCAAAATACGATGAAATACAGCAAAATTTGATCCCAATGGTTCAGATCAATTTACATATACTATATAACAGAAAAATACAAGTTACAATAAGTACGTTATGTATTGTTTTAGTCAAATCATAAAGGCTTTGACAATTTTTATGAATATGTAAATAAATCAATCAATATGGCCGAGTTATGACCTCAATCAAAGAATAATAATGTTAATAACGAATTCCGGAAGTTATCCTGCAATCATTAAGATGACATGTACTTTGAGATGTTAGTTCAACCAAACAAACGGTGCTGGGTCAAGTTAGCAATTCAAAATCGATTTTCAAAGTTAGCAATTTAGAATCTATAATTTGCGGTATGTTCTCTCTAAGATAGTACAAATGCTTCAAGTTTAGATTTATTTTATTGGTAAAAATGTAATCGAAAGTTCATTTATGCCTGAGGTCACGAAGGTCATCGCTCATAGGAAATCTCAGCTATGATAAAGATTTATTAGTTACGTTTGTGACATTAAGGTGGTCACTGTATAATGTCACCGAGAAACAATTAAAAGAGGGACATAACTCTGTGTTTTTGTAAAATTTCAGATGGGCAAACATCAGCAACAGTGCAGCTTCCCCAAACCGAACCTTGTCAAAACCGATCACCTCTGGAAACCGAACAAAATGGCCATGTATGTAATGACGCCTTCTTTATCATAGCAGTAAAAACCTTTCCAATACCGGCCTCTCTTCATTCCGAATACCGAACAGTTTTGTGTCCGATATGATTGAAATATACTAAAAAATCTGTACTTAATAACGCTATCTTTGTTATCAGAATGGTTGTTGTTTTTCTGTGATTTTATCTTTTTTATACTGAATCTTTTGATTATTTCATGATCGGATGTCTCCCTGTAACATTACACTGTTCAAAACTGGGGCTGTCATTGTTCCATTTATAGTCATGGTGATTGTGAAAATTAGCTTGTTACTGTTCATATATTCACAGATTCACATATTTTTATATTTGCTATTTACAATGCTTGGTGTAATTATGTTGCATAATGAGAAGTTTTTTTTGTGACATATTGACAAAAATGCAGCCATTAGCAATTTGAAAACTTAAGTCACTATTCCACAAATAAAGTATTAAGGCAGTATATACATATAAAATATACCATTACCAAAAACATATACAGTAAAAGCTCCATCGTTTTGGAATTAATAATCACAAATGTTTCACAATTTTTGTGTACTTTACGCTGAAATAGTATCTGTAAATATGTGTACAGCGTTGTTACTTTGGCAACACCACTGGGGGAATTGAAATGAGGTTAAAATTTAATTACATTTCTGGGAGGCGGTTGATCAACCTTAAAGAATTCTAACTAATTCAGGACGAAGTGTTCAATTTCCATAATTTTTCACCTTAGTCGTTACTGCAGCATAATGCACTACATTTGGTGGCTACATGTATGTCGGCTGTGAACGTGGATTACAATGAAAGCGGCCTATTCCGACACCATGTGGGACACAACACATTGGTCAGATTAACCTGTGTAATCTGACACCGTGTGGGACACAACACATTGGTCAGATTAACCTGTGTAATCTGACACCGTGTGGGACACAGCATATTGGTCAGATTAACCTGTGTAATCTGACACCATGTGGTACACAACACATTGGTCAGTGTGACATTTATTATCTGACATCCTGTTGTCAAAGCATTCACAATATTTATCAAACGGACCTGCCTAATCTAGAGATCTGGTGACCACACGGTAGATATATACGTAAATATGATCTAGTGACAAACAGGGGCAAGCGTTAGATATGATCTAGTGTCATACAGGAGCACGCGTTAGATATGATCTAGTGACATACAGGGGGCACGTTAGATATGATCTAGTGGCATACAGGGTGCACGTGTTAGATATGATATAGTAGCATACAGGGGCACACGTTAGATATGATCTAGTGACATACAGGGGGCACGCGTTAGTATGATCTAGTGGCATACAGGGTGCACGTGTTAGATATGATAGAGTGACATACAGGGGCACGCGTTAGATATGATCTAGAGACATACAGAGGTACGTGTTAGATATGATATAGTGACATACAGGGGGCACGCGTTAGATGTGATCTAGAGACATACAGAGGCACGTGTTAGATATGATATAGTGACATACAGGGGGCACGCGTTAGATATGATCTAGTGACATACAGGGGCACGCGTTTGATATGATCATGTGACATACAGGGGGCACGCGCTAGATATGATCTAGTGACATACGTGGGCACGTGTTAGATATGATCTAGTGGCATACAGGGTGCACGTGTTAGATATGATCTAGTGACATACAGGGGGCACGTGTTAGATATGATCTAGTGACATACAAGGGACACGCATTAGATATGATCTAGTGACATACAGGGTGCACACGTTAGATATGATCTAGTGACATACATGGGAACGTGTTAGATATAATATAGTGACATACATGAGCACGTGTTAGATATGATCTAGAGACATACAGGAGCACGAGTTAGATATGATCTAGTGACATACAAGGGCACGCGTTAGATATGCTCATGTGACATACAGGGGGCACGCGTTAGATATGATCTTATGTCATACATGGGAACGTGTTAGATATAATATAGTGACATACATGGGCACGTGTTAGATATGATCTAGTGGCATACACGGTGCACACGTTAGATATGATCTAGTGACATAAAGGGGCAGGCGTTAGATATGATCATGTGACATACAGGGGGCACGTGTTAGATATGATCTAGTGGCATACAGGGGCGCGTGTTAGATATGATCTACTGGCATACAGGGGCGCGTGTTAGATATGATCTAGTGACATACAGGGGTACACGGTAAATATAATCAAGTGCCTATACTTGACCCAGGTAAAATATTTATAAATACCACCGACAAAAAGTAAAAATAACATGAAACACTGGTAGAAAAAATGAAAACAGTCGACGTTTGACTGGAGCTGAATGTACCTCCAACAACTCCATATAGCAGAATCATGACGTCTAGATTTGGAGAGAACGTAGACAGGAAAAGTCCTATACTGGACACAAACGCTCCGCTGATGGCGATCTTACGACACCCAAATTTGTTGACCAGTGCTCCAGCTACGGGACCTAGGGAATATAACCACAAAGTTGTAATTATAAAACAAATGTGACTTCCCGGTACACTTCCCTTCGACACAAATGGTGTAAAATGGAATATATCGATAACCAATCCTCTTTGATCTCTGCATATATAATAAAATATCGTATTCATGACAACAGAAATATATTCATTAAATACATATCTATTTCAGTCAGAGAGAATTTGTAATTAATCACACTTCCTGTATATGTATTCTTCGCCCCGGATCACGTCCTGTATGAACGCTATCGTTTGCAGTGACATTAAAAGGATGCTTTTAACAATATTAAATTTCGTTGTACATCAGCCTTACCTAGGGACAAATAGGCTCCATTCAGAACAGACCCGAGAATTTGCGTTTTTCCTTTGCTTTCACCAAAATGTCTGAGGAATTCCGGAAAGAATATTCCAAAAGTGAAACAGACACCATCCACTAAGAAACTGACCATAAAAGATGAAAATGTGATGACCCATCCCCACCCTCCGTCCGGCGGAATTGGGGGCTGAGGGGGCGGCGCCCTGTTCATCCTCGCGGTGGTTCCATTACCTCTCTCCTTTTCCTCGGTCGCCATGATTCCTCAACGCTGTTAAGATATAACAGTTATCAATATAATCGAAATACAGACAAGGATTAATTTTTGCCGTACTGTATTTTCAAAACTTCTGTCACATTTCAATTTGATATTAGCCAGTGCAATCGCAAAATTATTATTATTACATTCTTAACGGCCCATCAACACGTAAAAGGTCATCAAACGGTAAAACACACAGCGATCCAAAGCAATCGCAAAATGATACAGATAAATTTGCATATGAACTCTGTGAAACCTTCCTGTACCACCATCATTTGTTCTACAAAATAAATAAAATTTTCAATTTGCTAATTCGTCGAGGTGAACTGAGAAATGACATTATATCGAGGTTTAATATATAAATGACGGAATCGTTTCGAGGATGTACTGTATAAACGGTGGCATTATACCGAGATATTTGAAAAGAAACTGGTTTCTGGTGCCCCCGGTCGTCCCTAGTTTTTGCAGTAACGACATAAAGGTTTTGGCAAGACGTTACTGTGTGGTTATACTCAATTAGTTGACTGGCGATCCCTAAAAGTAACAGTACACTGAGGCAAATTCATTTAGACTGATTGAATGTATTATACAGAGACATATGTCAAACATTTTCATGACGTCATCTGGTAAGATGGCTGTCGCCAGACCGACAACAGTAACAAGGATGTAATAAGTTTCAGTTTGGTTATCATGGTTGGTGGGGAAAAAAACTTCACATTTGTAAAGTTGTCAACTTAAATAATATAGATATCTGGAGTCTGATTCTACTTCTCCGTAAATACCGAATGTTGAAATTCATATGATCTAGCGTCTAGGGTCCCAAACCAAGTTTACTCATTTGTTTATTACAACGTAAAAACAACAACAACAACAGCAGCAGCAGCAACAACAACAATAACAACAACGCCATGAATTTTATCTGAAGGTATTGACCAAACTTCTATTTTTATATATGTATATAATCTATGTAACTGTTTGGGTTTTTTTTCATTATTGGCGGGGGTGGGGTATATGAATCATCTTCGTTTCTTCTACCTGTCCGTCCGCCTCGTGATAGTGCAGGGAAAACATTTCAAATATCTGACACAGATTGTGATAACCAGGATGACAAACATATACATACCTAACAAATAGATATCAACCATTCCATAATCCTTATGCAGTAGAGTTGAGCAATGGGTATCAAGAACAAGCACAAATTATCAGAGAGAACAGAAATAGATCCCTTCCTACCGACCTTTATATTTTTCAGGTAGAAACCGGAAACACAATTTTTTTCTGACCTGATATCAAAGTTTTACAGGAACTTTAAGAAATACTTCAAACCAAAATTTTGCCGTGTATCCTGAGATTACTTACAGTGGCGTGTGTTATTACAAATAAATTTTACCGTATTTAAACGAAACGAAAACTATTCTATCGAGATTTTAATTATATCATGTGGATTATTCAGGATTTTATTTCTCGATTTAAATATATTGTATCGTACGGAAGCGCATTCCGGCCACGTTGTGTTTTATTTTAACTCGAAATTTCGGGTTCGACTTACTAACTCAAAATTTCGGATTACTAACTCGAAATTTTGAGTTGCTATCTCGAAATTTCGGGTTAATATCACAAAATTACGGATTACTAACTCGAAATTTCGAGATTAAATAAAACACAACATGGCCGGAATACGCTTCCGTAGTATCGTTCGTCAGTTTATGTAAATGTTTAACATGATATAGGGATTGTGTAACAATCAGCGTTATGCAACAATTGGAAATCTATGTAAATTAAGAAATTGTAATAAACAAAATGTATCAGATATGCGTAAAACTATGCATACTATTGTTCGTCAACCAGTGCAAATTCATGGCGAAGATTTTTAAATTAGTCATTATCACAAATTAAGAGAGAAATTGTTTTGATTTAGCACTAAAATCAAATGTCTCCCCTTCTCGGGAATGAAGTAGTTGTGTGTGGGTGTGTGTGGGTGTGGGTGTGATGGTGTGTGTGCGTGTGTGCGTGCGTGCGTGCGTGTGTGTGTGTGTGTGCAATTGTATAGTTGTGCAAAATACAGTCGTGCATATATACTGAAATTGTTGAAGGTGGTGACGAGGAAGTTGATTGATGAATTACCAATGATTGCATAAATTGATAGAATATTAACGCATGTTGGCAACATGTGGTATTGGAATGTACAAATGGATTTTTGGGTAGTTTGTTGATAAATAGGACTTTTAAGAGTTGACTGTGAAGATGAGACATTCATGTAATATTATAATCACTACAACGCATATCTCAAAGAGGTGTCTATTAGAAAATGCACACTGGTGACAGACGTGAAGTCATGTATGGACTAGTTTACTCAGTTGAAATACAACTTATGGTATGGAAGAAGTTGATTTGTTATTTGTATCTGTGGTACAGAAACATTTGACATTTATAAATCATTAATATTATTGTATGATTAATTATGAAAAAAGTTATGCTCCGGACAAGTTTTTTTTTTACAAAGGGCAATAACTCTGTTATAAAAGGCACACGGCCCCTTATTTTTGTACGCGACACACCGTCTTTAAATCATGAAAATGTATACCGAATTTCATCATCCCATCTTAATTATGAAAAGAGTTATGCTCCTGACACGAAACTATTGGAAGAAGAAACTCATATAAAAACAATATGTCTCCCTTCTTGAGAAGGGGGAGACATAAATATGACAACATTTAACTTAAATTTTTTCCAGTGAATGTATATTGGTGTACTAGTTATCTGACAATGAACACAGGGACCTGCGAACTCGTCACTAGGCTTTTATTTAAGACTGCTATTTTGATCGATGTGAATTTAAGGGACCGTAGAATCGGTTACACAGTGGTGTAGAAAGTGTGGTAACTACCTCCCTCACAACCCCCCCCCCCCCCCCCCCCAACCCCCTTCTTTGTTGGGAAGCCGTCTTGAATGAGTTATCTTTGGGGAGGGGAGAGGGGGCTAATCCACCCCCACCCCACTCCATATCTTCGTCCAGCATCATCTCTTGAGATCTAGTCTAAGCCCTAAATTTTCAGCCAAAGGGACTTCATACGCCATACAGTGTGTATGTCTCATAGGCGTTCACGTGTCCACTTCAGAGAGCGTACAAAAATCAAACGACATCTGTATTCTACAGGGGTTCCCATTTAAACTACATAGAGTGAATCTAGTTGATATGTATGGGGTAGCCATGCAGATTTGATGCGGATTATCCGGTTGAGAAAATTCAGCGATTGGTTGTATTTATCTTCCCTATTTACGAGTATCTTCTCAATTAAAATAAGCTGGTCCGGAATTTCTGTCTTGTGTTGGTTTGCTACTTTGATTTGCACCCTACAGGGTTTGTTGTTCATATATACGTGTACTATCTTGATATGATTATCGGGCTTTGAGATAGATAGAATATTCCTTTTCTGTTGATTGTGATGATTTCGTGCCTAAATTTTCAATTATTGTCATTGACGTAATCAAACAGAGACGTTTACATTGTAAACATCGGCTTATCGTCGGTGTCTGATTTCACGCCACCCTTGGTTCGATGATACAATGAACACATGTACAGCTGACCGCGAGCAGTCGTTTCCGATCAGCTGTTTGTCACTCGTACAAAATCAATTTCCTTTAGCAGCTGTTGTGACGTCACTTGGGGTACACAACGGGGGAAATATAAATATGTATAACACATTACCGACGGACGAGAGAAAGACGTTTGATATTTGCTGGGTGGACTAAATTTGTATCAATAAAACACTTGTCTACGATTTACAACAATAATAAAAAAAAAAATTCACACGGATGTCAGGTGTTCGGCGAAACATAGTGTCCAATGACTGTGGTTATTGTTCATAGACACTGTACAACTAAACGGGCCTTTAAAGATGGTCATTTTGTGTATAATCTAGATCTGTCAACTGCCAGACTTCAGCACGAGATAGCTATATTTACACTAATGATATCAAATACACATCTGTCTTTATCCTATCGGCTAAAACCTTAATCGCGTCTAGCACTATAATCGTGTTATGCAAACATCAAATTGACTTTGATTCAGGGTAGATCAGTGCATGTCCATTAATAAAACTCGATAAATAATTAAAAAGCAGAATACCAGAAAGGGATACGTGAAATGGTTTTGTTGAGAGAGAACAGCAATGTTGATATCGACAAAGAAAACAGGGGAGCGATAACGAAGAAACGAAAACAAGATAGCAATGTAAACGAAGGTAGTGAGATGGCGAAAAAAGCCAGAAACGAAAATAACTCTGTGATGAAAAGAAAATGAAGCCAAGAAAATGACGAAATTGAAACAAAACTAAGGAAACGACGATTAAAGTAAATAAAACTACTTGAGCCAAAGGTCAGCCAGAAAAAGAGCAGCAGCGACAGCGAAAATTCGAAATCACGTGCAACAGCGGAAAGTCACGTGAAAACGAGGACAAGGGAGGCGATATATGGCTGATGAAATTGTCTGTACTGCAGCGATGTTGTGACTACCACGAAAACGGACCACATCCAGTTGTTTTAGACATGGCCCTTGTTATTTCTGTAAGGCCAAACATTTACATGAAAAGTATTTTAAGCGAGGTAGAAATGACTCCTGACACTCCTTATTAGCCTTGGCTTCTCGCCCTACACCTGTCTGTACTCATCAGGTAAGTTGCATCTAATTCATGGCACGGGTGTTTACAACGCCGATAAGAAGAGGCAACGAAAAGCTAATTAGTACCAGATATGCCATCGTGTTTTTAACGCGGAAACTCCATTTTGTCATGTTGGTTGATAATTATTCCCTATTAGCTCCTGTAAACCACACACAATCTTACTTCACAAAATCTATATGTTCAATCACGTGCGACATGTAATATGCACAGGTGCAAATCTACTTTTGTTTCTGAACACAACTGACCTACTGAAGTTTACATGTCTCTGCAGTTAGTTCAATAAATATAATATTTATGCACATTGTGATATATGCATATTCATTTTCTATCTGATAAACATATATTTCCAAAGATTATGCATGTTTCAACACAATGCAGGTGATATGTCTACAGAGTGAAAAGTTTAATGTGACAGAATATCTAAGCTGTAAGCTGCTAATATAATATAAAGATAATTTATATCGATAAGAGGAGGCTGCTAATAGAACGGACATATGTTCACACCATATCTCCGAGATATTATTCTCCCATCACGCGCAACCTACCGTGAAATTGACACCATTCAGTATATGCGACACGTGGACAAAAATCACTCAAAATCTCGTCACATGATTGCATTTAAAATGTTGGAAATCTGTATTTTAACCTACATATTTTAATTTTCTTACAATCGGATACATTCATGAACGTTCGAGATTTTCGTTTTCCTTTTTTTATAAATATTTTCAAAATGACTGAAAATACCAGTACCTATAATCAAGCTACGCTTTGCGGATTAGACGTTAACTGCTAAACTGAACAACATGCTGAAGGCCAGACGCTTGCATTCCAGAACAAGTATAGGCTAACACCTTGCTTATGGACACAACCACGAGAGCCCAAGACGGCCCACGATATCAGTTTGCATAAAACAAACACTCAATATTGTCGAAACGTGATCCGACGTAGAAAGCCATCTGTTGGTGAATTAGAATACTTTTGTATGAAATGATGACTAGCCAATGGCATGCCAAGTGCATTAAAATGATTTTCGGTAACTATTTATACTGTTATAACGATTTCATCATTTTCTTATTGATATGTTGATAAATCATAATGACATCGGGTTTATTTAGAAGTGTATGCAAGGCACTATTCACGCGAGCTCGGGTTATCTAGTAAAGGAACGATAACTCTGTTGGAGGTTGTTGTACTTGCAACCGGATTTAACCTACAATAGCCGACCGAGTGAATCCGAACAAGCAATTCTATAAATAGTTTTTAATCAGCGGAAAGCAGACAATACCTTATCTGTCTCGAGATTTGATCAGGATGTGACATTTAAAAGTGTACGTTGTAATCGCTGTGACGTCGGACCTACGTCATCCCTGGCGAAATATGGCAGGAGTGCATGTCGTCTCGTGACCTATGGGGTCAAACACGACACAGAACACGTACTTAATTATTTCCTTACAATCACGTGCTCGCGAGTCGTTCCATCTTACAATAACATATACTGTACGGAAAAGTGCTCCGGCCCTTTTTCTGAGGCCAATTACTACGGTGGAATATTATCTAAGAGTCAACAGAACAACAACAACAACAACAAAACAGAGGCAATATACGTCATATCGATTACATTTCAATTCCGTCCCAACTTTAAATCAGTAACAGCTGTTTGTAAGTTTAAAGTTTTAATTACGCTCAAAATTACATTCAAAATAATACGATTCTTGTATAAAAAATGAGATTAATTCCTTAATATATCTACTCTAAATTAACTACTGTTCTTATATGATTTTCCTGTTAGATGACGTCACACAATCAGAGATGACATTATGACTTAACAAAGGAGACTATTGAGTGGACAAGACTTCATGTTGGACGGGGCGATGTCTGTTTTTTACCATATTAACTTGAAAAATCGATCTTGTGATTAAAATGATTTTAAATTCGTTTCTATTTGGTCAAATGTGTGCTATTTATGAAACTCTACACCAATAATTCATGCTAGCGAGCCTTAAAATGAAAAAAAAATGGTCACTCGGTTTATAAAATCACATATCAAATGAAAGATCATAGATATATATTTCTAATTAAGATGAAACAAATAGTTCTGTATAATCAGAGTTCTGTAGAGGTAACAGAGGTCCGAGAGAAAGTAGCAAATTAGCATGCATGTCACGTTTAGCCTGAGAATGTATATATCTTCAGCGTTTTGAAGGTTTGATTCACAAATAGTAAAATGGTCATATTTCTTTTGTACAGAATATTATTTCATATTAGAAATGTTAAAACATTCAGGTCCTTCCGACCAGTTCCATAAAAAGAATACTGAAAATATGGGAACCCCTCATGGACAACAACCCTTTACAAAATTAATATAACGCTCGACTTTCGGGTCAATGAAGTCGCTGATAGCTAGCCCAAGTCAGTGTATGAAAATGAGAAAACGTGACGTCATAGGCCACACAAAACAGCTGTATATTCTACTTTAGTGCATCTATCAAATATTTCTATGTCGAAACACACGTACCTTTTAGTGTAAATAATCGTCTGCTCGGTAAGACAAATGTACAATCTCCTTGAATGTTAGAGTCATCGTTTCAGCCGGTATATAATATCGTCTGCATCCTTTCTCACTGTTGTATGATTGAGCTACCACATCGCGATATCGTACAGGCTGGTAGTAGGGGTCAGTTTGAATTCCACACAAACACAGTTAGAGGTGCACAATGCACGGTGGGTGACACACCATCATAGATTGATATTGAAATAGTTAAATGTAGCAGTGCCCTGCTTAATAATTCAAATTGTCAAGGTCGCCCCAGCGGTGATATCTCAAAAGCAGTGTATGTGATTGCCGGGGGCCCCCGAGAGGAGAACTACACAATGTGTGTGTTTTTTCCGTGATATCAAATTGTGACGTCATAATGCACTGAGGGAACGTACACAAGGCGAAGGTCGTTTCGACATCAGGAGGACACACACCTGTTTATTCTCTGTCACGGACTTTGTCAGAAACAGGATGTCGTTGTTGTGGTGAGAATTTCATTAATACGATACTGTACACTTTAAAATATTCAATATATTTTTAAATAAGTAACTTTCTATTTTAACAAGGCAATTAACCAGACAATCAATTTTGCGTGGCTCATCAGTGATAACGATATTGCGATTCCGGAAGTGTTTCATCACCAGTACATCTATTATATCACCCGTAATTTTTTATATCATCCTCCCCACAAATAGGCATTACCCCTAAGAATCTAGCATTACCCCTAAGAATCTAGCATTACTCTTAAGAATTTAGCATTACCCCTAAGAATTTAGCATTACCCTTAAGCATTTAGCATTACCTCTAAAAACTAAAATTACCCTTAAGAATTTAGCATTACCCTTATGAATTTAGCATTACCCCTAAGAATCTAGCATTACCCCTAAGAATTTAGCATTACCCCTAAGAATTTAGCATTACCCTTAAGCATTTAGCATTACCTCTAAAAACTAAAATGACCTTAAGCATTTAGCATTACCCTTATGAATTTAGCATTACCCCTAAGAATTTAGCATTACCCCTAAGAATCTAGCATTACCCTTAAGAATCTAGCATTACCTCTAAAAAATAAAATTACCCTTAAGAATTTAGCATTACCCTTAAGAATCTAGCATTACCCCTAAGAATTTAGCATTACCCTTAAGAATCTAGCATTACCTCTAAAAAATAAAATTACCCTTAAGAATTTAGCATTACCCTTAAGAATCTAGCATTACCCCTAAGAATTTAGCATTACCCTTAAGAATTTAGCATTACCCTTAAGCATTTAGCATTACCTCTAAAAAATAAAATTACCCTTAAGAATTTAGCATTACCCTTAAGAATCTAGCATTACCCCTAAGAATTTAGCATTACCCTTAAGAATTTAGCATTACCCTTAAGCATTTAGCATTACCCTTAAGAATTTAGCATTACCCTTAAGCATTTAGCATTACCCTTAAGAATTTAGCATTACCCTTAAGCTTTTAGCATTACCCTTAAGAATTTAGCATTACCCCTAAGAATTTAGCATTACCCTTAAGCTTTTAGCATTACCCCTAAGAATATAGCATTACCCTTATGAATTTAGTACTACTCCTAAGAATTTTGCATTACCCTTATGAATTTAGCATTACCCCTAAAAAATAAAATTACCCTTAAGAATTTAGTATTACCTATGAAATTAGCATTCCTCTTAAGAATTTAGCAGTACCCTTTTGAATTTAGCATTACCCCTAAGAATCTAGCTTTACCCCTAAGAATCTAGCATTACCCCTAAAAGTTTAGCATTACTCCTAAGAAACTAGCATTACCCCTAATAATTTAGCATTACTCCTAAGAAACTAGCATTACCCCTAAGAATTTAGCATTACCCTTTGAATTTAGCATTACCCCTAAGAAACTAGCTTTTCCCTTAAGAATCTAGCATTACCCCTAAAAGTTTAGCATTACTCCTAAGAAACTAGCATTACCCTTAAGCATTTAGCATTACCCATGAAAAATTAGCATTACCCTTAAGAATTTAGCATTACCCCTAAGAATTAAGCATTACCATTAAGAATCTAGCAATACCCCTGAGAATTTAGCATTACCCTTAAACATTTAGCATTGCCCTTAAGAAGCTAGCATTATTCTTAAGCATTTAGCATTACCCTTAAGCTTCAAGCATTATCCTTAAGAGTTTAGCATTACCCTTAAACATTTAGCATTGCCCTTAAGAATCTAGCATTATCCTTAGGAAGTTAGCATTACCCTTAAGCATTTAGCATTACCCTTAAGAATTTAGCATTACCCTTAAGAATCTAGCCGTACCACTATTGGAATGAATTAAAACATGGTGTTAAGGTTATGGCAAACATCGGGAAATAGACGTCCAACAGAAATGTTTATCACCTTCAATCTTGAAGATTTTAGATAAAATAAAAATTGAAAAACACTTTTCAATAAACATTTAGAATAAGATACAGTAGAGCCAAACAATGAATTAATCTGCATCATGCAACTGTTTCGTCCTTCTAAGACTCGTCAGTAATGCTACATCATACAGCTGTTTTGTCCTTCTAGGACTCGCTAGTGATGCTTCATCATACATCTGCTTTGTCCTTCTAGGACTCGCTAGTGATGCTTCATCATACATCTGTTTTGTCCTTCTAGGACTCGTCAGTGATACTACATCATACAGCTGTTTCACCCTTCTAGGACTCGTTAGTGATGCTACATCATACAAATGTTTCGTCCTTCTAGGACTCGTCATTGATGCCACATCATACAGCAGTTTCATCCTTCTAGGACTCGTCAGTGTTGCTACATCATACAGCTGTTTCGTCCTTCTAAGACTACTTAATGACGCTAAATCATACGTTAGTTATGCTATGGACCTGAATTTTGAAGTCTAGGAGGCAAGAGAGGAATATTCAAAGTTATCGATAGAAAAGTTAACTGCATGTTGATTTCAAAATCTGAACACTCGTGGTCTAATATTCACTTTAGTACTTTGTCTTGTGCAAGAGTTTACTCATCTGGTTGCTTCTTGATGTGGTCAGGTTTAACAGAACAATTAATTAAGCCATAGTTTGTAACACGGGGTTAGCTACCGTATCTGATTAGACTGACCGCCCCATCCCCTCACCTCTTTACGTTATCAATATTAGTGATCAAATTGAGTGAGTCAGGTAACGAAAGTCTACTAGTTTTGACGATGTAACAGTAATACAACATTGTAGAATCGACGATACTCCTGTGGACATAACAATAATCTGCCCAGGTTGCCAACAAACATCACTGAGCCATGATTGATAAATCATAACACAGTGTCGAAATTTCACGAATAGTATGTCCATGCCACGAATCCAAATGGATTGCATTCCACATGCTTTGGTTTCTCTCATAACTACCACACGAATGACGAAACACGATTCTTCGAAGTAACTTCAAGTGAGATTTTTCTCATGCCTTTAGGTGCCAGACATGATTTCAGCGTTAGTCTTACAACCGACATTGTTTGTCATCTCCCGTTGTGATCTATTTGTTCATGTCCGTTGCACATCTGGAACAGGACGGTGTAGTCATTACCAACAGGGAGTGTAAATGGAGCTTAATTGGAGTAATGCGTCGATAATACATAATGATCTAACAACGAAACTACAACACAAAGAAAACCCGTCTCAAATTGACAAGTGAAGAAGAAGCTCCCTTGCGGTGAATGATGATGCAAGCGTGAACATACTGTTTAATAGGGGAACACACACGAATGAATGCTAAATATCAAAGTTCTGACCTTAGATGCTGGACATAATACATTTGTCACTGACCAACACGGTAGGACAAGGCAAATATATGAATATCCTGTTTCGGCTCCCAGGCGTACGACTTAAAGTAAAGTTGGATGGACAACTAAGGGTCAAATTCACTTCAATTTATTCACATGTTATCTCTGCCGACATATTCTACTGACAAGTGGCGAGTTATGTAGCGCTGAAGACATCTTTCATTACAGAACTTCGGGCTAGGAGCATCACGCATCAGTTTTAGCGGTTAATAGAAAAAGAATATTTCCCAAGGAGATCGCTATGACGACCGTAAAACTTCCCCATTTTTTCATCAACCTGGATCTTTTGAAATTCTGTGTTGCGAGATTTCGAGTCAGTTGACGACTTCTTGCACGAAAATCGTAACAGGTCCTTGACTATCGAATTAAATGTGACACGTAAACACCATAGGATGGGGATGGAGGGATGTTGCTATCCAGAAATAGAAAATTCACAATAGGGAAATTGAAATGCTCATGCTTATTGTACAGCTTGATGCAATAATGTCAATGTTGGTTTCGTAGCAGGAGATAAATGGCTTATGTAGTCATTATATGACTTTATCTTATTCTAAATATGTCTTTTATAGCAATCTTCTTTATTGAACTCCACTGTATCTAATACTAATTTTAGTGTTTCAAGGCGCTATTCACTAGTACAATGTACAGTTTCTCTTATCGTCTGCTTGTTCTCTACCCGGGACACGGACTTGATTTGTGTTTTATATCCTCTCTTTTTTATTTTAGCACGTAGTCAGGATACTTGGACGAGGATGTGGCATGTACAGTTCGATGTGTTTTCGATAGGCCTCATTTTTTTTATCTTTTATGAGGTAACTTGCGTAACATAGATTATAGAAATTATCATTACCAGAAGAAAATTAAGATATAGTTATAAATAGAACCTTTAATATAGCTTAAATAATATTTAATGTGATGGTATTGCACTCCATTTCTATTATCTGTACACTGTATATGCATTTTATCAATAACCTTCTGTAACAATATCAGTTTGTTTTTGTATTTTGATTTACAAAAATTGAAAGTTATTAAATTTTCATTTATTGTCAAAATATATTTACATACAAACATCAAATTTTGCAAAGCATGCTAATTTGAGGTAACAGTTGTTTCTGCAAAATATTGAAGGAAATATTTATTTCTGCCAACTGTTTTCAGTTTTTAACTAATCTGACAAAGGACATACAAGTACATAAAACACATGTATGCCTCTTTGTCCATTATTAGAAATACTAATTTTGATCGGATGGGTTCATTAACCTGTCTAGGATCTGATAATGAAAACCTTGCCTTAATTATGCATAATTTTGCATGAGTAGAAAATCAACACCTCTTATAACCAATTATTGTATGGAAATATTTTTTATGTTTTCATTAAGTACTTAAGTCAATATTCATAATTTTTCTCCCATTCTGTATAATGGAAGGTAAGATTTTTTGTTTTATTCAAATATACAAGTAATATATCAACTTTAATTCACCTTAATCACAACAACAATGTTATGGTGTTAATTCTTGCATATTTCGAGAATCGGATAAAGTTAAAAATATTTATCTAAGTTTGGTTGTCAAGATCAAGAATTGAGCCATTTTAGCTAAATCACCCACATTTACATGAAATCAACCTTATTTCGTTCCTTATTCAAGCTATCCTAATCAGAGGTGGCGTTTCTGTTGAGAATAACATGCATAGAAAACAATTTAATTATATTTTAAACATGTTCTTTTAACATCTTTGCATGAATTGGGACATTGTTCAATTACGCCTCTGATATCTCTGTACTAGCCCCAACATTTCAACATTAACATCTGAAAGCGAAATCGCTGGAAGACACTTAAATGCACACGCTGTATAGAAGTGCATGCTAAATTAGTTCTTATATCGATACTGAATAATTTTATGCTGGGCTGTATCAGTCTTGTTATTTTCACATACCTAATTGAACAAAAGAAAGGATAGATAATTTCACTTTAAAGTTTAGTCATGTAAAACTATTATTTTCATTTTTTAATAATAATTTGGATGAAAAAGTATTTTCACAAATGCTAACTTTTTGGAAATCAATTATTTTGTAAACAAAAAAATCTAAAATAAAGGAACAAAGAAAAAGATAAATAAATTTGGTTCCAAAAAGGTCAACGTGAATTTTTTAATTGACAGGACAATCAGCCAATTTTGTTGTAGTTATGCCCCTTCAGCGGTGTTTACGATACACTGTCGTACGTGTGTCATATATTCTTGCATATATATCTTAAATAGACTGCCCCTGTATTTGTAGGATTTGGAACTGTAATTTAGTATTCGCATGTACATTTTTATCTTGAATGGAAATTGTACAGCTTTACCTGCGTTAATCTATCTGTGCTGTTTGTTTATGATGTTGTAGAAGTCTTGATATTTAAATAAAGAGAACGAGAGCCATGGTTTATTTCATGACTTCAATGTTAAAAACGAATTAGCAACCCAAGAGTAAACCAAATAAAATCAATTATATTGATCATGAGAAATGTATACAATTGTTCCTTAAGTCTTACTAAATTAAGTTCTAACTAGAATCGTATCTGTGACGTATATCTCGTACACGTATTTGTCAAACATGCCACTGTTGTGGTGTTGTGATGTTTACAAGTGTAAATAAACACTCGGAGGTCTGATTCCAGTAATACGTGATTGTAAACAATGCTAAAGTATATAAAGATATGGTAAGTAAAAACAAGCACAAACAAAATCAATGATTTCAATATCTTGGAAACATTTGTTAACTAAGGATTACATAACTAACTTCACCTGTCAATGTACGTTCACTTATTCAAAGTGGATTCCCGTGTTGTCTGTAATTTCATAGTAGCCTAAAATTTCTTTCAGTTGTGCAAACAATTACTGCGCGAGGACAACTTACAGACATTTAAAACCTTATTGGTAACTGCAATGCTTGTAAATCAATACATGTCTTATCCGTTCATAGGGTCATGACATCTTTGTATTGAATCTTTTGTCAGATAGATTGTAAACTTCCTCCTTCATGGAAAGGTACAATAAGACATGACATAACACGCAGATAAAATATCCCTATGTATTGTATATATATTCACGACAACATCGAGCGTATAATTGTCAACATTTGTAGACAAAGAAGCAAAGAATCCATGAAAATATATATTATTGAAAACTACGTACCATGGGAGAAGAGCTATCACTGAAAGCAGCACAACTTCGAATTTCCAAAAAGGATGTTTCTACACAACAGGAAAGTTATGTATCTCTGATATCGACTTTCAACCTACCGAGTTTTACTACTTTGATGGCCTATACACCAGACGGAAGTTGTTGGATTCAATATGACGGCTGTAATGACGTCAGGCTGACGGATATGACTGGAAATCCTATCGACAGTTTAACATGCGATGAAAAAATTACCGGAATGGATTTCCAAAACGAGGGGGACCTATTTATCTGTGTTGGTAACCAAATTAAACATGCAAAGATGCCAAACGGAGACCTAAAGACATTTGTCTATACGAAATATTTGAAACCACGTGATCTCTGCGTATCATCTTTCGGGGATGTTTACGTTACTTTCGAGGACAAGCCTGATTATAATCTGATGTCTGACAATGAGCGAATTGTGATAAAATATTCTGCACAAGGACGAGAAAAGGCTCGTTCTCGATACGACCAACAAGGCAACTATCTTTTTGTAAGGCCGAGTAGAATTATGGTTGATAGTTCGGGAGAAGCTGTGTATGTGATTAACTACACTGACCAATGTAGAAGCCATGTTGTTGTTTTAAATTCCGTCGACCTCACTCTTCGTCTTCGGTATCTAGGCAACGGAGAGGTTGTATTTGCGGAGCAGACGCTTGCCTCCAAAACAATGATAAGAAATGCAACAAAAGTCACGTCTTCTCAAATAACGATGACGTATACACCAACAATGAAATACGCTGTCACTGATATAGGACTTGATGCTTACGATAACATCTTGTTATGTGAGTTTTACAGTCGGTCAGTCCAATTATTGACCAGTGATTTTGTGCCGATGTTGACCATTCTACCTACACAATTACATGCACCACTGCTGATTGCAGTGTCAACATCTGTCCTCTGGGTTGGATTTAAGGATGGTTCCGTAGCTGTGTATACTGTACACTGTGCTCTCGAACCGGAAACAGTGGTCACGCATTTGTGATCATTATCTACTAATGTCAGAGATGCAGTCTCTGATTGAAAAGTGAGATGTCTTCGGAAACCCTTCAGGAACACCTGGTCTTGTTCTTCTTGTACTTTTTCATGAGGTTCCATATGAATTTTACCTTCCTTCCTGGATATTTCCTTTCATTATATCTATATAGAGCTAGAAGTTTTTATTCTTTTAGTGTTTATTAATCAGTGAAAATTACAAAAAAATATGAATTGAGGAAACGCTCTGTATATATATATTGCTTGTTGTTAACTATAAATTGATGAAACACTGAATCTATGTATGTATTGCTTGTTACTAATTAAAATTGATGTAACACTGAATCGATGTATGTATTGCCTGTTATTAATTCGTTGTAACACTGAATCGATGTATGTATTGCTTGTTACTAATTATAAATTGATGTAACACTGAATCTATGTATGTATTGCCTGTTATTAATTCGTTGTAACACTGAATCTATGTATGTATTGCTTGTTACTAATTTAAATTGATGTAACACTGAATCTATGTATGTATTGCCTGTTATTAATTCGTTGTAACACTGAATCTATGTATGTATTGCTTGTTACTAATTTAAATTGATGTAACACTGAATCGATGTATGTATTGCCTGTTATTAATTCGTTGTAACACTGAATCGATGTATGTATTGCTTTTTACTAATTATAAATTGATGTAACACTGAATCTATGTATGTATTGCCTGTTATTAATTCGTTGTAACACTGAATCTATGTATGTATTGCTCGTAAATTTTCACAGTGTATGTTCATTCGGGACAAGAAAACTACACACTCGTTGATGGTGCGATGGGAAGTCAGTGTGACTGAATTAAGTATCTGGCAGTAAATGGAAAGGAAAACGGAAGTCATGTCAATATGAGAAAGGAAATAATGCTTATATTGCTAAGAAGCCTTTAATACTGAATCAACATTAAAGTATGAGTCAGTCCATTGTGTTTGGCATGGGGAGGTTGTGATTATACTATGGCGATGTATATCGTAAACCATTGATCTGTTCTTATTCAAATGAATTTGAAATTTGAATAAGTGGATGTTTAAGATATTCTTACACTGTATGATTTAATGTTTCATTAACAACATTATGTTATAATGCTTAGCAATAATTAGAATAATTAACTATTCTTTCTTAAATAATATCCGAAGAACAAATCAGTATAGTTTTAGAGGTGCCAAATGAAAATGTCACTGTTTTGTTGTAAAGCAACGCATCGTTATGATAGCATATCAGATATTACATAACCGGTTCCAGTGCTTTTTGACGCAAACTTATAATAAGTAAACATTTTCAATTAATCATCATACATATTTCTTTCATTACACAGAAAATCCTCAACTTTATATGTGTTATATATTTCATGTGCACATTAAATACAAGTTACATGCATAGATGCAGACAGCTAAATTTAAGTGGAGTAAATTATTCTTGTAGCAATCGTTATAATTTTAAGGATACCTAAACATTTTAGATTAATTTCTAGCGATTGTTGTCCACACCATTTGTAGAAATAGCTGTTAACGTTGATTTCAGTATAACGTCTTTATATACCTACAGTGTCCATGTGGAAATTGAACTCTTTATCTCTCGGTTTTCATTACGTCTTTCAACTTTCCAAACGTTTTGTTAATTGTTCTTCTTTTGAATATTTTTGTTGTTGTTTTTAGCTTATACGTAATAAAATATTCAGATAAAAAAGTTGAATTCAAAGTGTTGTTTAAAATATAAGTTATTTTATTACATATAGATATACATTTTATATCATTATTGTGATATATGGACTATTTTACCTGCTTTTAAAGGAAGATCGCTTGAATTTCTTTTGTAAAAACTTTTTGGCGTCTCCTTTCCTTGCACATATCGACACGAAACCACGGATGCTAGTAGAAAGATCAAAATTGTCATTACAGGTTGCTAGAATAACTGACGAAATAACACATCAGATCAGTATGGATTCCTGTCGGTGTTTTGGGTTTATAATTGTGTAACATAATTTTGTAACTGTTATAGGGGTTATCTCCCTTGGTAAAATTAAATGTTGAAGAATTGTGATTCATACTTTTATTACATTGTATGTTACGTGGGTGGTTTTTTAAGTGTGTGTGTGTGTGTGTGGGTGGGTGTCTGGCTAGGAGAGGACATATCTGAACGAAGCTTGCTGTCAAGTCATTTTATTGGCACAATAGTATTGGTTTAAATTATATATGAAACACAAAACAGAAGGAATGTGACACGATAGACAGAAAAGTGGTTATATGCATACAATAGGTATGAAAAAATAAAATGAAAGTGTATGTAGGTATATTTGGCAGTATTTGTCTATTTACATAAATAAATGAGTCGACAGGTAGGTAACTTGTGGACAGGTAGATAGTTACATATATTTATACACAGGATAATACTTATAAATAAGACGTAAAATCGTTTACTTTTTTATTTCACGAATCTTTATTTTTGGCAAACACAATCAAATGACAACCAAAGGGCTTTTGTGTTTTGGTTTATATTTGAAAAAAAATCCCACGAAATTAAAGCCCCACGAAAACATAATTTTAAAACAGATGCTTATAGTTAGTTCTGAGCTAATCTGATCATGATAGTGGTGAATTGGTAAAAGACAATAGCAGTTAATAAGTCACTAATTATTGATTTATTGATTAACTAGGTATGTAAAGAGATATACTGACATCTTAACACACATATTTGTATACTCGGTAAGTTGGTATGTAAGAAGACAGTTCATATATACATGAAAAGGTATTTCCTATATCGGTTAGTTGCCGGAAAAACCAGATCGAGGAAACCAGAAACTTGCAACACAGATAAGTCACTAACTTACGTTTAAAGTGTATGATATATATGGATAGGTACAATGTACACTGCATAACGCTCGGTCAGCATAAACTTCCTTGTCGCGGTAAGTCGGTTTGTAGATAGTTATGAAAAGGTAGGCATATGTATATATAATGAGTACAAAGGTAGGTCCGTACACAACTACGTACCTAGGTGAGACAGCATTAAATGGTAGGGTTAATAAATATGACGGAAAAAGTGGCAACACCTTCAGAGAAAATCATTCCGGGCTCTTGCTTAAGTAAACTTTTGTATTCCTGTGAAGTTGGTTTCTAAAAATGAGTATTTATGAAAGCTTTGCTTTGGTTCCTTAGACAGGTCTCTGTAAAGAAACCATACTGGGGCAATACAATAAAGTAACCGCTGCATTTTCCTTCCGTTCCTTGATATCTTCCTGTAAAATTAGACATTTCAGAGGGATTCAAATTTTCGCTTTTTTATTCTGTCAAGCAAAAATAGAATTAATTAACAAAATCACATATATGACCTCAAGTGAAAATACGAAAAATAACAAACAATCTGGAAAGAAACATTAAGTAGGATTGTTCCTTTTATACACTATGTTTTTTCTGTAAATTCCTTTCGGTTCTCTACACAGGTTTTGCAATGACATTTTGGGTGAGGATGGTTTTACCAGTTGTAAACCGTCATGGTAGTCATGTTACTAGGTATCGTCTTGTAGGACAACATTTCGACGGACAAAACAGTGCTACAATTCATTATATGGTTCTACTGTAATGTAATGTTACTTTGTTTCAAATGATGCTATGCATTTGTGTGTCTTTTGAACAACCTCTATATGTTAAGGACTTCTGAATACATGGAAGATGTAGATAAACTGATATTTAAGGTAAGTATCAATGAATAACATTTTTTATAATTTTTTATTTTTCAAGATTTTACACGTTGAACAGGACAAATACACTCACACCCTCTCACACATCCAACCACAGGTGCACATATAGTCATTGCGTGTCAAACAAGAACACTCCATTCAAAAGAATCACCAACATCATCATCAACATTCAACAATGCATGTGATCATTACTATTATTATTATCACCATACATGATAATCCTCATATATCACAATCAATATTATGTTACACACTAAATGATGCATCATCATCATCATCATCATCATCATCATCATCATCATCATCATCATCATCATCATCATCATCATCAAAAACATGATAATCTTCCTCATCATCCATTTCAACATATATATCACAATCAATATTACTATCATGATTAGTGTACATCCTAAATAATGCATCATCATCATCATCATCCACATTCAACAATTCATCATCATCATCAAATCAAGATCAATGAATAACATTGTGTGAAGCATATTGTAATAAATTTATGATATAATGATAAATGTCTTTAAAATATTTCCATCGTTAAAATACTAGCAGTAACAGTAGAAAACAGCATTAGAGTTAGTAGATAAAGAGATTACAACTGTAAGTACACATACTGATAACACATATGATAACAAGCCACCAGCATCACAGCTACTACTGATATTTGATATAGACCAGGGGATGTAAATTTCCATTTGTCAACAGCGTTAACGGTTGCATTTATGATTTATACGTAACAGTAATGCAATCGTTTTCGCTATGCTCAGCATGGAGTTCACAGGTCAAACCCACTTGCCAGGTCATCAGTAGGTATCTGCAAGCCTTCCTGGCCTAGATAAATACAGATGTTCTGCTATCTCAGTTGCCCGTTAAACAATGACATCATACTTGTTTTCAATGTATCTACATCATTTTCAAATGAAATGAACATTGTTACAATTGTTAACCATGAAGGAGAATGTAAAATAAAACGGAAATAAAATTCTCCAAGAAGCCCACCAAACATTTAGTTAAATTATCAACAATCAATTGGGACTACAAATTTATAGTTCTAATGGGCTGATGCAAGAAAACGTCTTTTACACGAAAATTCACTAGTAATTTAAATAGATTGCACAAAGCCACACCAGATAAACCAAATAGATAATATGTACATGTAAATATTCAGAAAAGTACATAATGTTTAATGAATGATAGAAAACATGGTGGGAAATATTTACTGTTCTTTTTTTCCTCGGTAATCT